AGAGGTAGGAAGGCATGTGGAGTTGGGCCAGCAGCAAGGATTATATAAGCTGGAAAGGGTCTTCAAGGTCATTCCATTTCAGTTTCCTTAGTACGCACGTGAGGAAACCAAGGTCCCAAGAAGTCAATGACTTAGTCAAGGTTACACTGAGCGTTGCAGAGCCGGGCCTACTTCTCCTGAGTTCTTTCAGGTGGTGGTATACTGCAGGATCCAGCGTGCTCCTCCTGAGGGCTAGGATCCAAAGCAGGTGGCTGCATTTTACTAGCCTAGAGAGTTGCCTGGGTTTGTGTAGAAGAAACCTTAAATTCAGGCCCTTGTGACTAGTCATCTACTATGGTTCCGTTTCTCTTTGCTAGGAAGATCCAATTTAAGAACCCAGCAATCTAGCATTCCAGTCTAGCAGGTTGGCTTAGTCTTCAGCATACTTGTCTCTTGTCCAAGTTTAGATAATTGTAATAATGATGATTGCCTTAATGATGGCGATTACTTATTCAGTGCTTGCTCTATGTCAAGTAGAGTTCTAAGCACTTTGCATGTGCTAAATTATTTAATATAAACAACAATCCTATAAGGTACATGTTGTTATTACTCCATTTTACAGGGGAAAGGGGGACTCAGACAGATCAAGGCATTTGCTAAAGGTTACAGGCTAGTGAGTTATCACAAGCTGTCTAGCTCCAATGCTTAGAGAACGGCAGAAAAGTAGCAAGCCCTGTGGGCAGGCACAGTAAGAATGAGGATGAGGGACAGCAAAGCTGAATGAAATCAAGGATGGGGCTATTTACTGAAACACAAACGGGGCTGAATGAACCCAGAAGAGGCCTTGCTTAGTATATGCAAGGTCCTGAATTCAATCCCCAGCAGCACAAGAAAAAAAAAGTACCAACATAAGACCACATCAAGGACAAAGACCCCTTATGGTTCTATTCAGCTCATTAATGCCTCTGGTTACTGGCTGGCTCCTTTATGTCCTGTTTGGCTTCATGTTCCTTGGTCCCATGTTCTCCCTGTCCCTTCCTTCCTCCCTCCCTCCGTCTTCCCCTACTCTGTGAGTTTGTCTGTTGGTGCCTGTCAGATGTCTGCACATGCGTATGGAGGCCAGAGGTCAGTGTTGGGTTTTTGAGAGAGTCTCTCACGGGGACCTTGCACTAGGCGAGTAGCTATGATGGCTGAGTACTGAGCCGCAGGCATCACCTTGTCTCTGCCTCACCAGCACTGGCATAGCAGGCACCCCCATGCCCGTCTTTTTCCATGGGTGCTGGGGGTTGAAACCAGACCTTGTATAACAGGCATCTTACTGACGGGACTTATCTCCAGCCCCTTTGCATTCTTTCCTTTGAGACAGGGTCTCACATATCCCAGGCTGGCTTTGAACTTGATATCAGCTGAGGATGACCTTGGAGTTTTGATGTTGCTGCCTTCACCGCCCCAGTGCTAGAATTACAGTCAGGGATGGCCACGCCCAGTCCATGCGGTGCTGCAGAGTTAGAGTTAGAGTTAGAGTTAGAGTGCTAACAAGCGCTCCACCAAGAGAGCTGCAACTCCGGGCCCCTGGCTTTTCATTCTTGTGGCTTTTTTGCTCCCATTCTGAGATCCATGCCACTTGTCCCTTAGTTTATCGTCAACCCCACAAACTCCCTCTGATTCGTACAGCTGAAGATGAATGCATGGAAGGGCAGCTGGGGGCCATGGAAAATTCATGGCCTCAGATCTGCGGCACTCCTCAGTCTGCAGAGCTGGTCTTCAGGCTGTCCTTGGCACGTCCTTCAAAACGACTTTTCAAACCTTACCAAACTCCTCACTGCACACCCATCACCTCCTCCCTGGGTAGTTAACCTGGCTCGCTCTGTCATGGGAAACGAGAGTGATCGACAGACTCAACTCTTTGTGTCTTGGCCCGCTCTCTGATTCCCAAATCACAACAGTCCAACTAGCTTGTTTTGGTGCAGAGTTCTAGCAGCCTTGGATGGATGTATAGGTTTGGGTGACTGCCACCACAGTCAAGACTTAGAACTGTTCGGTCAATCCCCACATTCTCGTGCCCTCCCTTTGCAGTCAAGGCCTCCAGGACCACCCCTAAGATGATAACATTTCGTGTGTTCTCCATCCCTGTGATGTTATCTTCTGAGAAGAGCTCACTCAGTATAGTTCCTCTGGAATGTATTCATGCCGCTGTATTCAGCAATAGCTTATTATTTCTATTTTACGATTTCTATTTAATTATACACATGTGTGTCTGTCTGTGTGTGGCTATGTACACATGAGTGTGGATGCCTACAGAAATCAGAAGAGGGTATTGGATTTTCGTGGAACTGGAGTTACAGGCAGTTGTGAGCTACCCGACGTAGGTTCTGGGAATGCAATTTAGCCCACTGCAAGAGCAGCAGGTACTCTTAACCACTGAGCTCTCTCTCCAGCCCCCAGCTTGTTTTTTCTCTTTTCCATAGATTTGTTTTCATTTAAACTATGTATACGGGGGTGGGTATACACACCCATGTGGGGGTGCCTGCCTCAGCCTCACAAGTACTGCGATTATAGAGACAAGAGAGTTACTTTCAGGGATTGACCATTTTGATGACGACAGTTTTATCAGTAGTTCTGGGGTGGTTAAGAAGTTCATGAGTGGCTGAAGGAACGGTGACCAAAGGTGTAAAAGTGAGGACCCCTGAGGATGAGGGCCAGACAGAGACTGGCCCAGACTGTCCTTTTTGGCATCTCTTACTCTTTGAAAAGTTTATACACATGTACAAGTATCTGGGTCATATGTACCCCGCACTCCCCTCTCCCAACTCCCCCTGGGCCATGCCCACAGCGCATCTCCCCTCTCCAGCTTAATATCTTCTTTCCCCTTTTCTTTCTGAAGTTACCTAAGATGATGGTGAAGCTGGGCTTAAACTGAACCACCAAGTGTCAGTCTCCAGTAACTGTCGAAGTGGGGCCGGGAGGTCCACAATGACAACGGGACAAGGATATGGAGTAGCTTGAGCCCCGGATGAGCAATTGTGTCACGAGAGTCAAGCAGACAGCAATAGGCAACCAGAAGAATGCCACAAATAACCCTGTTCTCAAACTCGGAACATTTGTGTTGTGGGGAGATAAGCCCCTACGTGGTGGTTTCTTAGGAGAGGTGTTCGAATCTTAGATGGTCTTATAACAAAAAACTCTGAGCCAGCTGGGGGGTGGGAGTGGCGCAAGCCTTTAATCCCAGCACTCGGGAGGCAGAGCCACAGACATCTCTGTGAGTTCAAGGCTAGCCTGCTCTACAGAGAGAGATCCAGGACAGGCACCAAAACTACACAGAGAAACTCTGTCTCAAAAAAAAAAAACAAAACAAAAACCTCTGAGCCAGATATTGGGGTGAAAGCTGAAAGATCAGAGAAGCAGAGCAAGACACCTATTACCTCGCCAACTCCATGAATCCTCAAACTCAAAGCCTGAGTCGATCTGAAAGGGTCTCAGCTGAACTGCCTTAGTACCTGTCTCCTCATGCCTTATATACCTTTCTCCACCCCACTGTCATTTCCTGGGATTAAAGGCATTCGTGTTTTCCAGTACTGGGATTAAAGGTGTGTGCCACCACTGCCTGGCTCTGTTTCCAGTGTGGCCTTGAACTCCCGAGTGATAGGATTAAGGGTGTGTCCCACCACTGCCTGACCTCTATGTCTAATCTAGTGGCTTGTCCTTTGTTCCTCAGGCAAGCTTTATTGGGGTACACAATTTTATATCACCACAGAGAGGGATCCTTTAAAATAAGGAGCTGGGAGGGCACCAAAAAAGGTTAGTCTCGGGGTTGGGGATTTAGCTCAGTGGTAGAGCGCTTGCCTAGCAAGCACAAGGCCCTGGGTTTGATCCTCGGCTCCAAAAAAAAAAAATAAATAAATAAATAAATAAATAAATAAATAAATAAATAAATAAAAAGTTTAGTCTGGAGAGAATGCTCAGTAGTTAAGAGCACTTATCTTTACCTTGCAGCTAACAACAATCTATAACTCCAGTTCTAAGGGCATCTGATATCCTCACATGTACCTGGTACACAAATCTCCCTTATAGGTAAAACAAAAAAATAAATAAATCTCAAAAAAAAAAAAAAGGTTAAAGGCATAGGAATATGTAACAGGTCGATTGGGTATAGGCTAGGATGGAATGTAAGTATAAAATTGACTCTGTCCAAAATGCCTACTTTCTTTTAAGCAAAATACACCACAAATATGTGAACAAGGAAGGTATCATGGTTTTATAGCAAATCAATATTTGTTCTAAGTTAGGCATGGGAATCACACCTGTAATCTCAGCATTCAAGAGACAGAAGTATGGTAAAGTCCCAGCCAATCTGGGTTACAGAAGAAATACCTTGTCTCAGCTGGGCGGTGGTGGTGCACCCTTTTGATCCTAGCCCTCGGGAGGCAGAGCCAGGCGGATCTCTGTGAGTTCAAGGCCAGCCTGGGCTACAGATTGAGTTCCAGGGTAGGTGCCAAAGCTACACAGAGAAACCCTG